AACCGATGAACCAAAGTTAGCCAGAGCATCGGCCTTGATTTTTTGATCTCGGGGCACGTGCTGTAGGGTCCATTCAAGAAATTGATGCAGCGTTACCTGCAATTTGTCTAAATATCTTCGCATTCATTCCTCTTTTACTTTGAACGTCCCATTGACTTGATTTACCACAAGGAGGGAATTATACTTAGCTTCGACCACCTCGGCCCCAAGGCTTTTAGCCTATTCCATAGCTGCAATCATGACCTCATACTCGGTCTCATTGTTAGTCAATTTCATAGTTCTAATAGACTCCCTGATACCCGTAGGCGGCTTCAACACGATGCTGAGTCCAGACCCCTTTGCGTTTGAAACACCATCCGTAAAAAGTGTCCAGATTACTGAGGAAGTCCCCGAGGTTAACAAAAATTCCTTTTCGACTTTGAGTATTAAGGCCAGCACAAAGTCGGCCACGAAATCTTCCAAGATTTGTGATTTGATGGCGGTTCGGGGTCAATATTCGATATTGTACCTGCTAATTTCTATGACCCATTTGGCAGACCGACCCGAGAGATTAGGTTTGTGCATAATGTTTCTAGTGAGTAAGAGGTTATGACACATATGGGGTAGCATTAAAAGCATGGTTTCAACTTTCTGGAGGCGCTTAGAAAAGCGAGTGGCAATTTTTCGGGGTTAAGCTTCATATTGTATCTCTTCAATATGTCAAAGGTTTCCTGCAAATGTTTTAAATGGTCCTCTGGTCATAGGGACTTAACTAACATATCGTCAATATAAACTTCCATTGATTTTTCTATCTGTTTTTCGAACATCCGGTTTACTAGGCGTTCATAAATGGCACCGGCATTCTTTAGTCCGAACGACATTACATTATAATAATAGGTACCGAACGTAGTGATAAATGAAGTTTTTTCTTGATCGCCCGGGTCTATCCGGATTTGGTTGTACCCGGAATAAGCATCGAAAAAGCTGAGTATCTTGTGCTCGGCCCGTGTATCGATCATGTGATCGATGTTAGGCAAAGGAAAAGAGTTCTTAGGGCATGCCTTATTCAAGTCTTTATACTCTACGCGCATTCTTAATGTATTTCCCTTTTTAGGCACTACCACTATGTTAGCTAACCAGTACGGGTATTTAAATTACTGAATGGAACCTATTTTAAGGAGTTTGGATATCTCGTCTTTGTTGAAGGCATGCTTGACTTCAGAATAAGGCCTCCTCTTCTAGTTAACTGGGTGGAACTTCGGATCCAAACTTAGCTTGTGAGTGATTATCTTCGACGGGATCCCTGTCATATCAAGATGGGACCAGGCAAAACAAGATATGTTAGTTGTAAGGAAACTAATGAGTTCGTTCTTGAGCTCGGGGGTCAACCCCGTGCCTAGGTATACCTTTCGATCCGGCAGGTGTTCGGCCAATATAACTTGCTCCAGTTCTTCGACCATAGATTTGGTGGCGTCGGTATCATCAGGAGCTATGAACAATCTAGGAACTTTGTAATCATCTTCCTCATAGGCTTCTTATCCCTTCGGTCTGACCAGTACTAACAATAGTGATTGTTATTTAACTTCGGCCTTTCTGTCCAGCTCCCCGCTTTTTGACTTCAACTGCGGGTATTGGGAGTCATCGACTGCGAGCATTTCCTTTGTGGCCGGCTGCTCTCCGCATACTATCTTGATCTCTCCCGGTGTAGGGAACTTTAATTCTTGGTGCAAGGTCGAAGGTACCACCCTCCTGTTATGAACCCATGGTCTTCCGAATAGAGTATCATATCTCATATTCCCCTCGATCATATAGAATTTTATTTCCTGAATGGTCCCAACAATGTTCACTGGTAGGGTTATCTCATCTTTAGTAGTTTCACATGCCATGTTGAATTTGTTCAACACCCGGATTGCTGACACTATTTGGTCTTGTAGACCCAACTACTCTACGACCCTCGATATGATGATGTTGGACGAGCTACCTTGATCAATCAACACACGTTTAACTCGAGATTTATTAATAAGTAAAGATATTACTAGTGCATTATTATGCGGTTGTACGATGCCTTCGGCGTCCTCATCGTTGAACAAAATGGTTCCCTCCGAGATATAATCTCAGGTTCATTTTTCCCTTGTGAATGACACCTTTGTGCGTTTTAGCATTGGTCCCTGGGGACATCGACTCCTCCAATGATCATGTTGATGACGTGCTGAGGTTCTTCTTCTTCAGTTTGTTTATTGGAGTCCTTGTTCCTGAAGTGATTTTTGGCTCGATCACTCAGAAATTCTCGGAGATGACCGTTATTGAATAACCGAGCCACTTCTTCTCTAAACTATCGACAGTCCTCGGTTCTAAGGCCATGAGTGCCATAATACTTACACATCAAGTTAGGGTCTCTTTGGCTAGGGTGGTATTCCAATGGTCGAGGCCACTTGGTATCTTTGATGCGCTCGATAGAGGATAAGATGTTGGGCAGTATCGACAATGAAGTTATATTCTGATAACCTTAGTGCCTCCCTGGCCCCGAGTGGCCTATCGAAACACTTTTTGCTCAGGAGCCCCCGGCTCCTGTGGCCTCGATCGTTCCTCTTCTCGTTCCTTATAAGGTTACGCCCAGTTCCGTTACCCCTACGATCTCCACTATACGGTTGATACCGGTCTCTGTTCAGTCTTGGTTCATGATCGACGACTCTCTTAGACCTATCATTAGTTCTGATGGGATAAATGAACTCGGAGGGGGGCCCAATCTTATCATTTTCGACTCTAATTTTTTGACCGGTACCTGTTATGGATGTTGGCCCAAGTTACCGTTGGGTACTCTATCAAATTTTGTTTTAACGAACTTGAAGCCAAGGAGGTTGGGGGCTTAAGTCCTTGAGTGAATGCATGAACGGCCCAAGAGTAAACTCCTGAACTCCCCAATCATCCTCAACCAGAGGCAAGTCTATATGTTCCATTTGAAACCTCGATATGAACTTCCTAAGCATTTCGTTGTTCCTTTATTTTACCCCGGCATGTGCTTTTACAAAGGCATCTGCAAGCATAGCAAACGAATCAATAGAATTTGGGGGTAAGTTGTGAGACCATATCATTGCTCATTTTAACAGGGTTTCTCCGAACGTTTTTAGCAAAACCGACTTGATCTCGTCATCTTCCAAGTCGTTTCCCTTGATGGCACACGTAGATGAGGTCATATGCTTATTTGGATCCGTGATTCCATTATACTTCAGAATATCGGGCATACGAAACTTCTTCAGGATTGGATTCGGTGCCATGCTCGGAGGGAAAGGCTTTTAGAAAAAATTCTTGGAGTCCATGCCTTTCAATATCGGGGGCGCTCCTGGGATTTGATCCACTCTGAAGTTATAGGTCTCCACTTTTTTGTCGTTGGCCTCAATTTTCTTCTCCCCCGATTCCACCCGCTTTGTTAGTTTCTTAAGCATTTTTATTATTTCAGGGTTGGTCCCGAGCTCATCTTTATCCGGCCTTTTTGTGATGTGCTCACTTCTTCGGGTGTTTTCTAGGGATATTTTAGGCTCAACTCTACTAGGGGAGCGACTTTGATTAAACAGATGTTCTATCGTGCCTGTTGGGCCTATAACATTTCGAAAATCACCCGCAGATTGATCATGTCACCTTCGCCTTCGGGCGTACCTCGAGTCATTGGTCGAGCTTCTCCACGAACGTTGTTCTCAGGGTCGGTCGGCAGGTTGGCGTCGATGGCCATGTGTGAATTGGCATCAATTGGGTCTGCAACTAGGACTCCATTGGGATTAGTAGGAGCACCTCGTTGCTAGGTACTATATTGTTATTTTTGTCACGATGGCCAGACTTAACATAAACGTTCAAGTGAGTAGACTGAGAGTTCAAGTGGGCGTTAAATTGTTTACCCTTAAAAATAGATAACAATTGAATTTATACGCGATTTTAAAGATATGTAAACTAATTCAATACAAGTGATTAATAACGTTAGATGAGAAAATTAAGGATAGAATAAATAGCCAAACCAGTAGTAGTATTGAGTCTGAGCTCGGTTATGAGCTCAACAATTAGCTGCCTTCGGTTCTGAGCCAAATACTTATGAAGAACTATGAGAAAAAATAAGAACTTTGAATAACTTTTAGAAGCAAAGAAAACAAATGTATATTGCCTTGGTATGCATGTTACATTGTGTTCCTTGAATAAAAATTATCTCTTTTATATAGTAGGAGAGTTTCATCTCTAATACAATTCTAAAAAAGGTAAAAAAATCTTCTTTTTAGTTAATCACTGATCTGCTACCGATACGGGCCGAGATCCATGTTGTGATATCCGGTTAGGCACGGATATCACGGCCATTTGTTAGTCGTCTGCGAACGTAGGTTAATGCTTTCCGAGGTCATGAAACTCGAACCGGATCCGGGGGGCATGGTCTCAATGGCTCCAAGGGCAGGTGTTTTATTCGGGCCTTGATACGAGAGGTTCCCAGCATCGATTTTGATTCCTTGTAGTTACGTCCTTGCTTCGTTTTCCCCACCGAAAAATCGGGTTCCCCATTACCCCTCATTTTACCCGTATACAATTTTAACTAATATATTATTAGATCAAATTATTTCCTGATTCTAATAATTTAATATTTATGATTTTTATTCATAGAGGGTGAGTAGTTGCTTTCCCGCTTTATTTAGCAATTAAGTGAATCGAAGCTTGACAAAGCATGGAAAAAAGGAAAAATATAGCTTCCTTCATTTATTTTAGATGACTGAATTTACCATCTTTCAAGAATTTTTTGTATCAGATTTGGATCAATATTTTACTGATGAGTTCTTTGTATTTATAAGAAAAACCTTTGTTTTTATGGGGGGAGGGGGTTACAAATACTGAATTGGCAAAAATCATGTACAACCATCTAAACTTGTCCCCATTTTCCTATTTAAGGTATGTTCCATTGAACACTTCATTTAACACAGATTTCTTTTAAATCAACACTTTTTTTCCTTTCTGTGCTAGAGGTTCAGCGCGTGTAACCAAACGGCGCTGACGTGTATTAACAGCCAATCAAAATGTAAAAGCTGTAATATTTTTTCCATGGTGACATTATAATTAAAATATATCCGATAAAAACAAGGCAAAAAATCCCTAGTATATTTCTCCTTAACGCCCGTATATTTGTAATTCCACTTAACGCCCGTTTTCTTCTTCTTCTTCTCTCTCTAACGAATTGGAAGGAAAATTGAAGAAACTTTTGGTGATTCCTGGTTTCTCATGCAGAAGATACTTACTGTAAGTATCAATTTCCCTCGTTGATGAAAAATAACGATTCAAATATGTCTAAAAAGTTAGGGTTTTTACCTTCATGATTTGGGGATTAGGGTTTGAGAATATTCCGTTAATTTCCTATATCCCTTTTTCGATTTCATGAAAATATGTTTAATTTCGAGCCACGTTCTGTCATTGTCTCTAATCTCTCTTTTCGATTTTATTCAGCTTTGATTCAAATGTCGGAGGAAATTATATTCACAAAGGGGGCTACTTTTTTGAGATTCCTGTCCCCACTTATGTTGGTGAGAGTGAACGAGCAGGTATGTATATGGACCTACACCTATTAGACTTAAGGAATGGAAACAATCAGATGTTTCCTATTGCTTGGGCAGTAGTGGATCAAGAAACAAAACATAGCTGGAGTTGGTTCTTAGGATATTTGATTGATGACTTAAATTTGGGCACGGGTGAAGGTTTACTGTAATGTCAGATATGCAAAAGGTAATCTTTCTGCTCTTCTAAACTTTCTGATTTTCTTTTAATTATATTCATCTAAACTTTCTGTTATTCTTTTGTTTCTGCTCTTCTAAACTTTCTGATTTTCTTTTGATTATATTCATCTAAAAATTTTGTTCTTCTTTTGAACTTTCAAATCTTCTAAGTACTTTATTTTGTAGGGACTTGTTCCTGCCATAATGGAATTATTGCCAAATGTAGAGCAAAGAAGGCATATCTGGAGTAACTGGCATATCAAATGGAGAGGAGAAGCTAGAAGAAAGCAGTTCTAGAGATGTTCAAAAGCTAGCTTTGAAGTCAAATTTAAAGAGGAGTTGGAAGCATTGAGTAAATTAGGTAAGAAGGAAATATGTGAGGATTTGTTGCATTATCCCAAGGAAATATATGTAGAAAATGTATAAAGGAATGGAGTTACAGGAAAGTGAAATGGCTTCCAAGATGAAGGCAAGCAAAATAAGCACGCTCACAGCAAAAGAGAGCTCTTTAACTGGGCAGAGATATCATCTATTAAAAACTGCAAAATTGACTTTAAGATTAGCTAAAAGATTTTTGGTATATCACATATTCTTGCAAAAATAGTAGCAGCCTTCAAAACTCCATAAATTTCCGGGAGATCAATACAAAGTTTCAATAAAAAAGCAACTTGTTCTACTACTACAATACATAAGACCATTATTTAGTCCACTACGAGTTTAGCCGTGCATAAAACTACACGACCATAATCCAGACTATACACATGAAAATACAAAAAAAACACAAGCATCTTGAATTTGGCTCTTGCCCAATCCCACTATTGTTTAGCCTCCTTGCAATTCACTGCTAGAGACTCTATTTGCACTTAAACATCCTTCAATTTCTGTTTTAATTTATCCCTTTCTTCTTCAAGTTCTTTTACTTTCACTCTTAGTCGATCACTCATTAAACGCAACATCGCCCGACTTGGTAGTAATATGAATGCGTATGATCGATTTAAGTTGGTTGTGCACAAACAATAAAAAATCACACGATATTCGCAATAGAAAATCTGGAGAATCAATTCAAACAACAAAACGATGTGTTTTTCGGACCTAGATCTATTATCTTTGAACTATATAGATTGCAAAGTTGTGGCGTGAGTTGTAATTATATATAATTCTTACTCATATATAATTGAGGGATCAAAGGTGTAATTATTCCAAAAAGATTATCAATCTTTTACATGACCATTTGTAAACTCTTGCTAATTGTATAAGGTAAAATATGTCTATATTAAATAATCGCATGAGAAAGTGACATGTGGAGTCGAAGATAAAAGATAGGTGAATCCGAAGGCAGCGATCCCGTTTGTTACCGGAGAGAATTATACTCACAAAGATTAAATAAATGTTTGTCACCCGATAGCATTTAATGAGGAATATTCTATAGCATTAAGTACACAACCTGTTACAAGGAATATGGCATTCACTACCTACTGTTACACATTTTTCAATGACCTTCATAATTGACATTAAAGATGTGCTTGATCCTAGGACCTTGTTCCCTAGGTGCAACTATAAATAGTGAGATCCATAATCATTATGAAGGACACGAATTTTCTGGCAAACATACGCTATACTCTATTCAAAGCTCAATATAGTTTTATCTTCTTGTTTACTAATATCATTGTTGTTGTACCCGAAAGCCCTGTTCCCATAATTGCTATTTCTACTATTCTATCTCTCTCTCAAGGCTAAGTATCATATTTTTATCTAATTCATATATTATTTCAGGATCAAATTAATTCACTTATCTATAAACCACGTATAAATTCAACAATATCATTTTACGGGTAAACAGTTTGGCGCCCACCGTGGGACTTAGACGGTTATGTAACTAAGTTGGTTCTTCCCTCTTTTACTAACGTGTTTGATTATTTGATCTTAGAAAAACAATTATAGAAAATGACATATAATGGTGTTAACAACACACACAATCTTGAGGCCGAAGGAAATAAGCCTCGGCACGAGGATTTAATTAGTGATACCCGCAATAAGGGGGACGAGGCCACTCCGGTCCACGAAAGGCGGTACCCGCAACATGTTCGAGAGGCGACTCCTGATGATTCTAAAGAAGAGCACGTTGTCGGAGCAGTAAGGGTGTTGTAGGAGCAACAGGAGGCCATTTTGGGTCATCTCGCATGGAAGGATAAGGATATGACGAAACTGAAGCAGACGTTATCGGGTGCTTCCAATAATGCGATGGAAGAGGTCCAGTTCCTCCCGATGCTCCCGCAAATCAAACAATGCAAAGAGTCGACAACAACACCCCAAGAGACGAGGTCGGCTTCAATGGGGCCGGGGGAAACTGTTCCAATCACAACAATGAGAGTGATCCCTTTAAAAAGGATGTTGCTCCTGGCCGTTCTGGATGAATGGGCGGCTGAAGCATTTACCAAGGGTTTGAATCCGAGAAGTTCCGATGCTTCCCAGAAGTTGAAAGAAAGCTTGCTCGAGTTTCAAGAGACAACTTGGGCGAATGTTCACAACCGATACGAGTCAAAGATAAGGATCGAAGATGATTAGTTCGGTTTCCCTGCGTCGGATAAAGGTCGGGAGAAGAATAAAGAGAAATCAAAAGACGAGATTTCGACACAGATATACGGTCTTCGAGGAGCCAGTTCTTGCCTTATGAATGGGCCGAAGGACGCATTAGAGGCTCCCGGGTGGCAGACAGGTTCAATAGAAGAACTAATTTCGGCCGAAATAACTGGTCATTATTGGACAAGGAAATGTGAGGTTCTCAAGATCCTTCCTACCCTATACTTTTAGAATACAATTTCAACGTCAGCGATGTAGAGTTAATTTTGGCTATGAGGAACATTAAAGAAGCATAATTCCCGAAGCTGATAAGATTCGATCCCAGCCAGAGGGATCCTAATTTATGGTGTAAATACCATGGGACAAACGGTCACCGGACAAGGGACTACCGACATCTGCGCGAAGAGGTTCCTACACTGTTGAAAAATGGCCATATCAGGGAATTCTAAGTGACCGGGCTAAAAACAATTACAGTCGCAATCGTGACAATACAGAGCCCTCAAAAGCAGGAGAAGATCCCCTACACCTAACGATCAACATGATTTTCGGGGGAACGAGATTAACGGGGTTACTTTCTCGGCGGTGAAAAAGATGAAGGTCTCAGTAACCTACACAAGAGACTTTGCGAAGTCGCGGAAGACGATATCACTTTCACGGAGGAGGTTGTAGATGGATTGTTGCTACCGCACAATGATGCATTGGTAATCTCTCTAAATGTATTAGATTTTACAATTAAACGTATTCTTGTGAATCTAGGGAGTTCTGCCAATATCATACAATGGAGGGTATTGGAGCAATCCAAACTCACCAGAAGCATAATTCTAGCCACAAAACTCCTCATCGGGTTAAACTTATCAAGCCTGATAACCCGAGGAGAGATCCCGTTGCCCACAAATGCCGAATGGGTGAAGAAGACGACCATTTTCAAGTTAGTAGATGGCGATATGGGCTACAACATTATCCTGGGAAGACCATGGTTGCATGAGATGAAAGTTGTGCTATCGACATATCACCAGTTGCTAAAAATCCCAATTCCTGGGGAAATTAAACAAATAAGAGGTGACCAACCGGCGGCAAGGGAGATGAATGCAATTTCGGTCTCCAGTAGCAAAGGGAAAGGTCATGCGGGATTGCAATTATAGGAACTGTGCGCCTGCTCCCAAACCAAGCAAGATCGACCATAGGGAATAGGCCTCATAATCTTATCAAGTGCCAAGGTATTTCCAGGTATCAGAAGAGACGGACGCAATAAAGTCCACAGCGGAAGAGCTTGATCAAGTCGCATTATTCGAGAAGTTCCTGGAAAGGATATTCCACTTGGGGACAGGACTGCACCTCGAACTAAGGTCTGCATTTATTAAATTTCTTAAATTTAACGTCGATTGTTTTGCGTAGTCGCATGCAGATATGACAGGTATCCCACCGGAAGTGGTCGGATACAAGCTGAGCTTAGATCCTAGCATCCCTCTGGTAAGACAGAAAAAATGTCCTATTGCCGAGGCTAGAAAAAGATTCGTCAAAGAAGAGGTAACTCGACTACTTGATATCGGTTCATTCCGAGAGGTGATCATCTTGAACACTTGCAAGAAAGTTTTGACATCTTAAGGAAGCATAATATGAAGCATAACCTCGAGAAGTGTGTGTTCGGGGTCAATTCTGATAAGTTCTTGGGGTTCTTGATATCACAAAAGGGAATTGAGGTTAACCCCGATAAAATCAAAGCCATAGAAAACATCCCGGACCAGCTGTCAAGTGTAAAAGATGTTTAAAGACTCACGAGGAGATTGGCCGCTTTGAGAAGGTTCATTCCTGGTCCTTAGAGAAATACCATCATTTCTTTTTGTTACTCAAGAAGAAGAAAAACTTCGAATGGACCCTAGAATGTCAACAAGTTTTGAGGGATTTGAAAAGGTACTTGTCAAGTCCTCCGTTGTTATCAAAGCCGGAGGAAGGCAAAAAGTTGTTAATCTACTTAGTGGTCTCAGAGGTAGCGGTAAGTACCGTTTTAGTCTGTGAGGACAAAGGTACGCAATCTCCCATTTATTAAGTTAGTAGAATTTTAATAGGAGCAGAAACTCATTACACACATTTGGAGAAGCTGGACTTAGCACTCGCAGTCGCCGCTCGGAAGCTAAGGCCTTATTTCCAATGTCACTTGATAGATGTGGTGACCACCTTTCCCCTGCGGAATATCCTTCATAAAATTGAACTTTCAATTAGGTTGGCCAAGACATAGAATATAAACCTAGGACTGCAATTAAGTCACAAATTTTTGCCGACTTTGTGGCTGATTTCAGTTCGGGATTGCTACTTCTAGCAATTAAAGAAGCATTGATGGTGTCAGAATCGACATCAAGAATTTTGACCCTATTTACGGACGGAGCTTCCAACATAAAAGGGTCCATGATCGGCATAGTATTAAACATGCCTTCGGGGGAAAACCCTAAGGGATGCCACAAGAACGGTTCCTCTGACTAACAATGAAGCGGAGTATGAAGCTTTGATTGCAGGACTAAAATTTTCCCCGGGACTAGATTCCGGGAAGGAAATCAAATGCGATTCCCAGCTGGTGATAAATCAGGTCTACGGGATCTTCGAAGCCAAAGAGGAGCGCATGCAGCAATACGTAGTAAAGGTTCAGGCTCTACTTGCTCGATTCTGGGAGTGGTCAATTATGCATATCCCATGGAAGAAAACGCAGAAGCAGACACATTAGCTAACATTGATCCATCAAAGTAATTGAAGGGATCAGACTACACCACGATCGTACAATTTTTGCACTCGATTGTAGACACAGATAGTTACTACGAGGTAAACACGACTAATTTGGTCTAGGACTGGAGGAATGTAATTATTGATTATCTCAATCACGAAAAGTTGCCTGAAGATCCCAAGGAATCCCGGGCGTTGCATGCTAAAGTAGCACGATATAGCTTCAAAAGAGGCTAATTGTACAGGAAATTTTTCCAAGGCCTGCTGGTCCGATGCTTGGGAACCTTT